AACTGAGTTCACAGCATATACAAAGTCAAAGAAAAATAACCAGAAAAAAAGGTCTTCTTACTCATGTTACAAAGGGATAACCTCTCTAATATGTAAATGCATATATTCAATTAAGAAGAATTAACAAACAGAAAACGTGGATAAAAGATATGAACAGGAATTGCAAGAAACATACACAAATTGCACTTAAGCATAGGAAAAGATGCTCCACCTGACTGAAGAAATGCAAATTGGGGTACCTGGGTGGCTCAGTGGTTGAGCAGCTGCCTTCAGCTCAGGTCATGATCCTGGGGTCCTGGGATCACATAGGGAGCCTGCTTCTCCCTCTGCCGACGTCTCTGCCGCTGTGTGTCTCTCGTGAATAAATAAGTAAAATATTTTTAAAAAAAGAAATGCAAATTAAAGCCAAATGAAGGTAGCATGGGTCTCCCACAAACTTGAAGAACGTGTGGGATGCAGCTATTATGGCCTTAAAGGTAGACTATATTTGAAAAGAAGGAAACAGAAAGTCAATGACTTAAGTACCCCATCAAGAAATTATAAAAAGAACACAAATTAGACCCAAAGAAAGTAGAAGAAATTAAAGAGGGCCAAATCTAAAAAATTTGTTCTTTGAGAAAAAAAAAAACTGATAAAAATAATAACCCTTGACAGGATTGATCAAGGAAGAGAGGGAGAGAACAAATCCAGTCCAATCTCTGGAATGAAACGAGAGTATCACCATAGTTCCTAGAGACAATACAAAGATACGACCCACACTATAAACTTGAAAATGTCAATGTTCTGGAGAAATTCCTCTAAAAACACTATAGATGCCAACACCAAAATGACAGTAATGTTAGAATTATCTGATGAAGATTTTATAGCAGTCATGATAAAAAAAATGTTTCAATGAGCAATTAAGAACACACTTGAGATAAGTGAGGGAAAAAATAGAAAGCTTTAGCAAAGATATAGAAGCTATAAAGAACAAAATGGAAATTTTAGAAATATTTGCAACACTTGTAATTCAGGATTTCTCTGATCTTTAATTTCCCCGTTTCTAGGGTTAAATGAGATAACATATCTAAAAGGATTGGCACAATGCCTGGCACATAGCAAGTGCTCCATAAAATTTTATATTGCTGCTCTTGTAGCAGAGGCATCCAAGCAGGAGGACCAGACTCTGATGCATTTCCAGGCAGACAGACCCTCCTGCCTTGGACACTCCGTAAGGAAGATGTCAGAAGGGTTTGCTTAGCAATTAGGTTATCAACCTTACAAACCAGTATTGAAGGCATTCCCTAAGGTACTCCCTTCACCCTCACAGCGGCAACCTGTATGCAGTGCCCATGCTGGGTTCTGAAGAATACAATGGAAGGGATAAGAGGTACAATCAGAAGGGGAAGATGGACTTTAGTTTCAGTGGCAACAGCTCACATGATGGGAAACCCCCCAAGAGTTTGCTGGAAGCAGCAGGAAGGGACAGGGCAGAAAGAAAGAGAGCTTTCTCTTCTTTCAAACACGGTATTGTTTACCATAATAGCAGCCAGGATTCCCAGAAGCAAGGAAGAGGGGGCTTGCAGAATGGTTTCAACAGGGTCAACTTATTCCTGCAGAGACAGGCCCAGGAAAAGCTACACTTACAAAGAGACCATTCTGACCTGCACGGATAGAGGGACATCTGGGCCAAGGCCAAGATCAGGGACGACCCCGCAATGGGGTCCTTTGAATCCCCACCCTCAGCTGGGAGAAGCAGAACTTTTGAAGGAGGTAGGTTTGCCTCTAGCTTTCCTGCTTCCTGTTCTTCCTTCCTAGCAGAAGACAACGCATGAAGCACTTTCCCTTAGTTTACAGAACCTGTTTACACCCCTCACAGCGCCTGATCTCATCACACACCATGGCTGAGGGATATCCTCACTTCATTTTACTGGTGTCCCAGTGGAGTCTCAGAGCCATCAGGTGAATTACCCAAGGCAGTTCTCGGACTACGGACTCATCCCACCTATATACCTATATATAGTATAAAATCCTACTCCATCAAGACACCAATATATTTTTTAAGATTTTATTTATTTATTCATGAGACACACACACACACACACACACAGAGGCAGAGACACAGGCAGAGGGAGAAGCAGGATCCATGCAGGGAGCCCGATGTGGGACTCGATACCGGGACTCCAGGGTCATGCCCTGGGCCAAAGGCAGGTGCTAAACCGCTGAGCCACCCAGGGATCCCCCAAGACACCAATATTAATGAGCATTATTATTACTATTTTTGAGCATCTCGGGTGTGCCAGGTAAAAGCCAGGTACCTGGCTTCCCTGAGCTCACTTGTCCTTCAGACAGACACCAGGAGTAGAGGCGGCTACCCTGTCTTACAGGCTCCGAGAAGGCAAGAATGGTAGGCGCTCCTACTTAGCACCTGGCACTGTCCTAAACACTTCAATATGCACGAAGTCACTCAGTCTTCCCAGCAGTCCCGTGAGAATAAGTGTAAGTCACACATCTGTTTCAGAGATATGGGAACTGAAGGTCAGAGACATCAGGTAATCCCCTGGAGGCCACACAGCTCAGAAGTGGCAGCACTGGTATTCAAACCGAGCCTTCTTACCACTGTTCTGTGTCTCTGGCAGGACAAGTGGCTTAGCACAAGGTGGCACATCTAGGAAGTGTCAGAATCAGATTGAAACCTCCGCCCAACTGAAAACCAGGGTCTTCCCACCCAACTATCCTGCCTAGAGTAGGGCTGGATGGTCTGGGTCACTTGGGCAGCCTCCCTCCTCCCCAGCTAAGGGACAGCTGTCTGCAAATCCATCCCCAGAAACAGGATGTGTGGGGGCAAGAGCCCTCTATGGTGGCATCAGGCCCAGGCAGGCTGACAGAGCTGGGACCCAGCTCCATCAACCCTCTTTGCCAGTTTTTGTCTCCCTGCCCGCTGCTTGCGGCCCAAATCGGCCCCGGACTCTCATCGTCTCCCTTGGCCCCCACTGAAAATGCCGACTGCCAGGTGGAGTGGGAACTTGGAAGAAACCTGGAGGGATCAGAGGAGCTGCGTGGGGGTGAGGAGAGGGGTGCTGGAGAGCAGTTCTGGAGTTGTGGGGAAGGAGTAACCTAGCAACCACTGGCTCACATGGTCACAAAGCCAGCAGGCTTGCTCACAGAACCAGCGAGCCTTCCTGTTGATGTAGCTCCCCTTGCTCTTCTGCTCAGGCAGCAGGGACTTCTCACACACAGACTGTAGCAGGCATTTCCCTCGGTGAGTCGAGATCCATGGAGAGATCAATCTCCTGCGGAGGGAAACGGACACTAGAGCCGGACTGGGGGCCAGGGGCACCTACAGAGGTCAACATGGGGCAAGGAAAGTTCTGTCTCAGGATTGATGTGAGCGTTCAGACCCCTTCTGTCCAGCTGGTTGGGGACCAGGCAGAGAGGGAAGTGAGGACAGAGGTGGACACAGTGGAGCCCAGCCTGGCCCACTCTGGAAAAGGCTGGCCTGACCCAGTCCTTGTTGACCTCTACTGCAACTACAGGTTGTGACCCAATTGTGGCTTATAAAATCAATTTAATGGGTCATATCTAAGATTTACAAAATAAAAACCGAAAGTAGGATGAAAATAGCACTGTGCTTCGTATGTAGCAAGGGTAGGTATTGCTTTAGGATGTTCCTGCCTCAGTGTCACATACACACCGGTGTGTGCACACGTGTGTAGATCATGATCTGATCCACGAATGAGTCTCTTACGATGATCACAGTCAAAAGCATTTGAAAGTCTGTGTTCTAACAAGTACTTTTTCCTGTAGGCAGATGGGTTTGGGCTTCCAAATGGCCTGTCCGCAAGCCTGCAGCATGTAAGGGGTCTAGAGCCCAGCCCCCGTCATCCAGGATGTTCAAAGCTTCCTTCAAAGGAAGTTCTACCAACTGTTTTTCTCTTTAGAGAAAAGATCGGGGAAGACTTGGAGTCAGGATGCCTGGGGTCCTTGTGTGACCTCAGGTCTCCCCTTCCCCCATCTCAAGGAGTGCTGCCTCTCACTTCCGCCTGAACCTGACAGCAGCTGGCCCTGGGCAGGTCTGGGGTCCTTTGCAGATTTTGTAAACTTGAGGGTTCATTTTCAGAATGCACTGACTCTCGGTCCCAAACCCATCCCTAGCACCTGCAAGCCCTGCACTTTGGAGAGATATAGACGGGTAGATTGATAGATCTATATATGCATGTGTATGTATATGTGTCTGTTTATGCGTATCTAGATATCCAGCTACATTCAGGTCCATCGATTCAGACCAATCACAATTCTTGACTTTAACACCTATCAGCTTTCATCCACTTCACTGAATCAGAACTATTTCATATTATAATGAGCACCAGCAAACGCGCCTCTCAAACTGAGTTAGAATAGCACCACTAACACATGTGCTCCCCTCCCTCCCATCCCCCATCCCTGACTTCCCTCAAAAAGAACCACTAGCTGAATTTTGTGTTTAGCATTTTCTTGCCTTTTTTCCCCCTCCCTTATCACATTTATGATAATTTTGCTTTCCTTTGAGCTTCACTTTTAAGAAGGAATCTCAGGCTATGTGGCCCTCTGGGCCTTGCTTTACTTGACCTCAGATAATATTTGTAAGGTTCATCTATGTGGTTCTGGGTAGCTCTGGTTCATTTTCATTGCAATACAATGTTCAATTGCCCACATGTAGCACCACTCACTCACCCCTTCTTTCTGCCTTTGGACACTTGGGAAGTTGCCAGGTGTTTGCTAATTCGAACAATGTTAGTCTGAATATATTACAAACAGCCCCAGTCATACGACTGCAAGAGCTTCTTTTGGGTATATGTCTGGGAGATGAATCGCTGAGCGCTACAGCTTGCAAATGTTCAATTTTACCACACATTGCCAATTTTTCTCCTCTAAGTGTCTGTTCCGGTTTACACTCCCACCGCCAGCGTATGAGATTTCCTGTTATCCATCTTCAACACCAGTGTCAAGTGCACTAGTCCTTATTCTGTTAGAAAGTCGACGATGGCCACAGACGTGAAGACCCAGTTGGCTGAACATCCACTGATGAGGTAAGACCCCAAGTGCCCACCCTGCTGATCCAAGCGGGTGGGGGGAAGGCAGGGCAGGCTGGGAGACAAAAGTGGCGTGGCGGGAACCCAACAGATAGAGAGTCCAGGAGAGGCAGCCCTTCCTCACCTTCGGCTGCCATCAGCCAAGCCCCCAGTGGTGGGTTCTTAGGCCTGAGTTAGCACAGGTCACAAACTGGGTCCCTCCCTGGAGGGAGGAGGACATGGTGGCAGGGAACAGAAGCACCTGCGTGAGAATTCCTAGATTTTTAAGGGGCGACTTCCTCTGTCAGTTGGGGTAGGGAGGCCACGTAACTGCAACTTTCAGAGAAGGTTTGCTTTATTTCTTTAAGTCCCAGATGCCTTAGAGGCCAATGGAGGACGGCACAGAAAACTCAGGGGCCTGGCCAGCGAAATCCTCAGAGGGCCCCGAGGCCCTTGCTTAGCATATCCAGAGCCCACCTCTTCTCCAGAGGGCCTCCCTTCAGCCAGGGCCACCGGGAGAAGGGAATGCAGACAGCCAGCAGGCAGGTGGTCCCACCAGGCCCCAGCGGAGATCACCCCACCTCTGGATCCATGCTGGACGGACCCCGGGCTCCTCCAGAGGCAGGGCCCGGCATCCTCAGGAGAGGGAAGGGGTGCAGGGTGGAGGACAGACAACCTGAGAAACATGTCTCCAGTGAAGCCGACAAGAGCTTGATGCTTCCCTGCAGCGTTGCGACTCTGAATGCTGCCCAACAAGCTCTGCATCTCCTGGGAGGGGCTCCCGAGGAAAGAGGACATGCTGGCGCCATCTGGCCTTGGTGCTCTAGCTTCAGCCCCTGGACGCGAAGTCTGGGCCAAGACTGCCTGGAGGGGGGGCCCCGGGGCAGGGGGACTGCCCATAGCTGGCTTCTCCTGGGCTGCCAACAGTTGGCTTGGGGTGAGGTCCTTGTTTTGTCTGCCCCTGCCCCTGGAGGTATATATAAGGTACCTTTGCTCCAACCCAGGTATTTGGAGAGTAGGTGGGTCTATGGCTTCTTTTTCTGGCTTTAGAGAGGGTTTCTGGTAGAAAACTGAGGTCTTGGGAGATGCTATCTGAGTTCTCTCCAATGGATCCTAGCTCCCTGCTAAGGCATCTTATGAAGACAAAGGCTCCCTGGGACTGGATTGGACTAGTTGGGAGAGGACCCCAGGAGAGGCCTGGCTTTGGGAGCCATGGGGTAGAAGTGAACTCCTGGAAACCAATTTCAGAGTGCCTCAGGAATAGACTCCATCTGAGCCCTGAGTTCTGAGCTGGGTGGGCACTAATGCCAGGAGGCTCCATTAGTTTCTCCTTGACTTTCTCCTTCAGTCCAAGGGCTAAGCTGAAGCCTGAAAAGAAGTCAGGGCACAGGCCAAGGAGCCACGGGGACAACGGGCCACAGAAAGAACTGATGATCCCAGGGATCGTGGATTTCCAGCTGATCCAAACAGCACTGAAGACCCCCAAGCCCCAGACCCCTGGAGCCTACCGCTTTGGCCGCCTCAGCCACCACTCCTTCTTCTCCCGGCACCACCCCCACCCACAACGTGTGACCCATATCCAAGGTAGGCCCTGGGGAGGTAGGGGCCTGACTGGAGGTGGTGGGGCAGTTCTGATGACCAGAAAAGGAGGATCCAGCCTCTGTTTCCAAGCTGAGGCCCAGAGAGGATGGGGATTTGGTCAGGGACAGAGAACTGCTTGGCCACTTGCAAGCACTCAATCAAGTGAAGACTGGACCTGGGGAAGCAGGCTCTGAGGCTGACTGTGCAGCCCTAGACCATTCCCTCATTGCTGATCCTCCCATTTTACAAATCAGATAAAGGGATGAATGTTCTGCCCCAGAACTGCACTCTGTTCTCTAACTCAGGCCAATTCATCCACTTAGCCATCTGTCCATCAGATATCTGTTGAGTGCAAACAATGGATCAATCACTTATTTAGGCCCTAAGGATATGACAGTGAGCGAAACAGTTCCTAACCTTGTGGAGCTGACTCTGCTGGAAAAGGCTAGGAAATAGATGAGGTGTCAGAGTGTAGGAAGTGCCAAGGCCCTAGAAGGGAGCAGACCTGATCAATAGCATGGCATCTAAGCCAAGAACTAAAGGGGAGAGCGCATTGAACTGTGTGGCTAGTGGAGGAAAGAATGTCCCAGGCAGAGGGAACAGCAAGTACAAAGGCCCCAAGGCACACATTTTGGCTCTGCTGGAGAAGCAGCAAGGAAGCCAGTGTGGCTGGAGCTGAGTAAAGAGGGGGAGAAAGGAGAAACTCCAGAGAGGTGGTGGGAGTTCAGATTATGTGGGCCTTAGAGGTCACTCCACTTACCATTAAGCCATCTCGCTGAATGGATGGGAGCCACTGGAAGGTGGAAAGCAAAAAAGTGACAGGAGTGACCTGTTGGCTGCTGTCTGGAGGGGGATGTAGACCAAGGAGGTAGCAATGGAAGAGCAAGTGGCCCTGCTCTAGAGCTATACAGAGGTGGAACCAACAGGATTTGCAGATTGGTTAAAAATAGTAGGAAAGGCAGAGGGGAGTCAATGATGACTCCAGGTGCTGGGCCTGAATGACTAGAAAACCATAGTCACATTGACTGAGGCAAAAAAAATGCCTGAAGGCAGGATCAGTGCAGGGCAAGGGGGGGGGTTGGAAATTGGGTGGGAATCTGGGAGATGTGAGATTCCACGCATCTTTCAGGCTTGGGGGTAGAAGTGTAAAGTAGGCAGTTGGGGCTGGAGTTCAGGTGAGAGATGCCAATCTGGCCACCACTCAAGGAGGGAGGGCATTGGAAGTGCCATGCCTGGATGGGAAAGCCAAGAGCCCGTGTAGATGCAGAAGAGGAGAGCCTGGCGCTGAGCCCAGGGACCCCTGGGAGGGCAAGGAGGTGAGGAGCAGCCTGTGAGTTAGGAGGGACCAGGGGAATGAGCCCCCCACCCCCACCAGCCAAAAAGGAGAATGTTTCAGGAAAGACAGAGTAAGCCAGCATGCCAGGACCTAACCAGGCTGGTCCTCGAAGCTTCACCGTGTATGCTAATACACCGTCACACAGACCTGAAGCCAGAAGGGTCCTCATGTGTAAGCAGCTCGCCACCACCTCTGGGCTGCCCTGCAGAGGCTGACAGATGGCAAGGAGTTTTATCCAGGGGGTCTGGCTAAACCTTGCTCCTTTTGATTTGAGCCCAGGTCCTTCTGGTCACAGACTATGGCTCCATGCCCCATCCCCGTGTCCTCCTCTTCAAGCTGTCCACCTCCGTGTGCTCACACCTGCAGTTCCTCGCTCTGTCGTAGAAAATCAGAAGGACCCCAGGACTAGAGTCCTATCTCACCTCCCCCTGACTCGCTGGGTGACCCTGAGCACTGCCTATCACTGTTCATTCTTAGTATCCCCCTGGGTAATAAGGCCTCTGTGGCCGGAGGGCCCTCCCAGCTCTAGCGATCTATGGTCGGGAAGAAGTGGGGTCCGTACTCTCCCTGCCCACCAGCCTCCTCCCAGCCTCCTGGTGTTCCTGGGGTCCACCCAGGCCCTCCTTCCCACAGCCTCTCACCCTTCGCAGATCTCACCGGGAAGCCTGTCTGTGTCGTCAGAGACGAGTTCTCTGTGGCCCCCTTGCCTCAAGCCACACTTTTATCCCGCTGTCTGATGGGGTTGCCCACCATCTCTGTCCCCATCGGAGACCCGCAGTCCAATCGGGAACCCCGGCTTTCTTCTGGTGGGTACTCGGGCACCAGCCTCTCTCCCCAGGGGCTGCCCTCCCTCAAGGCAGGTCCCTGGGAAGGAAAGAGCCAGCGCTCTTAGGTTGATGGGGTCCCCTGCGGCTTTCCTCATTTCCTCAGACAGCAGCATCTGCACTATTCCCCCCCCAGGTCCTCAGAAATGGGGCCCCTACTCAGATTTGAGGTGTTTGAGGCATGATAACAGAAGACAGACAGAGTGGGGCAATAGTCATGTGACTTACAGCCACAGACAGGATTGATATGGGAAATGCCGAGTAGCTTGCAGGCTTGGGCACGAGCCCGTCGGAGCAGTTGGCCAGAGATGGAGCTGGAGCTGAAGCAGCAGCTTTCTAGCAGCCCCTGCGCTTCCCCTTCCCCTCCATCAGGGTCCAGGGGAAACCCACTGGTGGGGACCAGGACAGCTGTGCAGGGCAGAGCGGCTTGGGAAGCTAGCTGCAGCACATCTCCCCAACTGCGCCAAGAGCAGTTTGGTATCTGAGGGACTAGCACATTGCAGAAACTGAGGCTCAGTGCTGGCCTCAGGTGCCTAAAAGAGGCGCAGCTAGACTAACCGCACACATGTTGGCGCAGGTAGCCAAGCATATCCAGCAGCTTCCAGGGAAGCCACAGGCTAGGATCAACATCAGCCCCCTCCAGTAGTGACCATGCTCACCCCCCCAATGGCGAGATTCCTGCTTCTCCTCTCAAGGTCACCGCCTCCCCCTTTCCCTTTAAGATATAAGGCGGAAGGCTGGGGAGGTGAGCAGGCTCTTCCCACCCCGACCCCCCACTCCCAGCCCTCTCAAGGCTGGGTACCACAGGGAAGGCAGGAGAACCCCGGGTTTCAGCTGGCAATGTCTTCCCAGAGGCATGGAAGAAGGAGTTGAGAGACCTGGCTTCCCGGGTGGCCGTCTTCACCAAGGAGAATGAGCTGAAGAGCAAAGAGGTGGGTGCAGAACACAGGAGCCATCTGGGAAGAGATCCAAAGGGTCCATCGTTTTGTGATGAAAGCCCTCCCAAGTGGGTTCCCCCTCGTGAGCAGTAGAGCTAGTGTCCACAAGAGGTGCTGCTGTTGGCCCAGGAGGAAAGGGCTGCAGAACATCCACCTCCCCACCCGAGGAGGGTCCAGCAAGGGCTCAAAAGAGAAGAGAAGGTGGCTAGGTGGGGAGATCCAAGAAGGGTGCATAACAGAGGTGGGATGGGCAGACGGGGACGGGGGACACGTTCCTAGTGGACACATGCAGCTCAGAAGCTGCGAAGTGCAGGACATGCTTAAAGAGGGCGGCATAAGCGGGCAGCCATGTGGGGTTGGGAGTGGGGAGGAAGGTAAGAAGGGGTTGACTTTGCATGTGGGCAAAAAGGAGGAGCTTGCTCTTCATTTCTGAACTTCCTGTAGTGCCCAGTCTCATAGGGAATAGAGAATCACTGACGGATTTCAAACAGGATGGGGTGACTTTGTGGGTGCTATCTGCTGATAATCCAGTAAAGACAACTGGGAGGCAGCATGGAAGTAGTTGGTACTGGATGCAGGACAGGTCTGGCCCTTGGGACAGAGTCTGGCCCTGCCCTGCTCTTGGGCAGCAGAGTTCTCATTTCTGATTTGTGGCCTACTCAGTGCAATGCTCACGGCAACTCGGCTAAGCTCTCGGGGTCTCACTTTTGTTATCTTTAAAATGGGGACAAGTATAGGGTCACCTGGGTGACTGAGTGGGCTGAGCGTCCACCTCTTGATCTCAGGACCCTGGGATCGAGCCCCACATCGGGCTCTGCATTCAGCGGGGAGTCTGCTTCTCTCCCTCCTCCTCTGCCCCACCCCTGCTCCCACGCACATGCTCTCTCACTTGCTCTCTCTAAAATAAAAAAAAATTGAAAATATAAACAAATAAATGTGGGAAGAAGTATACTAGCAGTCTCAATTGGGGTTGCAGGGGTAGGAGGTCCCAGGCCTCATACCAATAGGCCTAGCTCAGGAGGTTTTCCCAGGGCAAAGAATGGATGCCAAGTTCTAGGGGACAAATTTGAGGGGTAGCTGAGCTGGAGTTAAGGTAGGAAATGGGGGTCTTGGCCTAAAATACTGCTTTCCAATCTCTGATGGGTGCAGGGGTGAGGGGAAGGGAGGGCGGGTCTCCCTAGGAGGAATAATGAAGACTTCAGAGGACCACCAGGGTCTCCAGCATTGAAGAAGTTCCAGGAGGAAGCATTTTGGATGGGGAGAGTCCCTGGCTGGGGAGAGGGGTCCAGAACAGGGTGAGGCTGGCCTGGTCATCCTCCCAGCTCCCTGCAATGTTGCGATGCTGGAATTGCAGGAGGGGAGGTGAAGCCCCAGAGGTGTGACTGGGCCTCCTTCTCTTCCTCTTCTTCCTCGAGCCTCTCTCCCTCTCTCTCTCTCTCAATCTCTCTCTCTCACTGCCTGGAGTCTCTGGTCACTTTGCTCCCAGCAGAAGGAGGAGCCTCAGCGGGAGCAAGGGGCAAAGTACTCAGCCGAGACCGGGAGGCTCATCCCCACTTCCACCCGAGTCATTGGTCGCCGCCACTCCCGCCAGGGCCCACGGATGTATTCTTCTGGCAAAGATGAAGGAGTCCAGACTGTCTTCCTAAAGGATCATGAGCTGCTGGTAAGGCCCTGGGAACGCTGGGAGCTACGGCCCAACAGAGGCCTGGTCTGAGGGCAGAGAACATGTGGTCGCTGCTCCCAGGCTCCCAGCAGTCCCAGCTAGGACGTTTACAAACTGCTTTAAAGTGTGGCCTCTCAGGGTGCCTGGGTGGCTCAGTCAATTGATTGCCCAACTCTTTTTTTTTTTTTTAAGATTTTATTTTTTCATGAGAGACACACACAGAGAAAGAGAGAAAAAGAGAGAGGCAGAGACACAGGCAGAGGGAGAAGCAGGCTCCATGCAGGGATCCTGATGTGGGACTCGATCCTGGGACTCCAGGATCACATCCCGGACTGAAGGCAGGCGCTAAACCGCTGAGCCACCCAGGGATCCCAATTGCCCAACTCTTGATTTCAGCTCAGGTCATGATTTCAGGGTCATGGGATCAAGATCCTCTCTCCTTCTCCCTCTGCCTTCTCCCCATCTCTCTCTCTCTCTTAAAAAAAAAAAGGTGTGGCCTCTCCCAGGATACTTGTACCTGAGACTATCAGCCTCAGAAACTCCTGACCTGGGAGTCAAGCACCTGGATCCAATCCTCTGCCATGTCCAGGTTTCTGCGGGAAGCTCTCCCTCTCTTTTAAAGCCTTCCCCCGACTTGGGGTTTTAGCTCCATGATCTACGCAAGCTGGGAGCATGCACATGTTGTCTTGAAGGGCTATCCTAGCTGTGGCACTGGATGAGTTCAGGAAGGGAGCTACGGTGGCTGGATGACATTCATAGAAGAACGTCCTGCCTAGTGTGTCCCCGAACCATACCTGGGTGTGCTGCAGCCTGTGGCCAGCCCCGCCAGTCCCAGCCCAGTCTCCCCACACTGTGCAGGGTTTGGTGGGTGCCACAGTGAAGCACAGATCTATCTTCTGATGTTTAAGTTTCACCGGCCAAGGCCTGAGATGAGTCCGTGACCGATGCTGGTGGGTTAAGGCTACCTGCGGTCCCTTTTAAAATGCATACATGTTCTCCAGGGAAGGTTAGTCCCCGAGCCAGCATCTTGACACCCTCCCTGTGACCCGTGCTTTCAAGCATGCAGTCCCTTTGAAGACTTACAATGGTCCAGTGAAGTGGATAGCAGACAGGGCCCAGAATCCCCATTCCACAGATGGGGAGGCTAAGGCCCTGCCAGGTGACATTCTGTGGCCCAGGTCCCCAGAGAGGGAGCAGCATAGCGGAGACTAGAACGACACTTTCTCCACCTTAGGGCGGCCTCATCTTGCCTGGAATTAGGTTCTCGGGTCCTGTGGGGAGGGGGCCCCGGGCAGGTAAGTCGGATGGGGAGAATGGAGAAGGGCCCAGGGGCAGACCCAGGGGGTGGGGGGAGTCACTGCAACAGGTGGGTATCTGGGGCTGAGGGGGCACCCTAGCAACCAGAGGCCCGGGAAGGGGCTCAGCCCGGTTCCTGTTCTGCCAAGGATGAGGCCGACCTGCTGGGGACTGACAGGCCCCCTCTGGTCCTGGGAAGACCGACTGCCAAGCACTAAGGGGACCCTGCTTTCCTAGGACTCCAGGGGCTACACCTCCTACCACGGGTCCCAACTCCAGGCGACCGTAGCCACAGTCACCGTCAGCAGCCTGGCCTAGGGAGCCCTCGTAGTCCATCCTCCTACACAGAGCTGGAGCTCCCCCCGATGATACGAGACTGGAGGACGCAGGGGAAAGAGGGCCCGGCGGTGGCAGAGATGCCAGAGGCTGCGGAAGCGACCAAGGGTGAAGCGTTCACGCTGCTTGGCCAGACGGAGCCCCACGCGGGGTCATCTGCAGCATCAGCCAGCCCTGACCCCCAACCCGCCCGCTGGGATCACCCCACCTCTATGCTAGTGTCTCCAGACCCTGGGAGCTCCAGGGTGGGGAGGCCCGTGGGGTCCCTGAAACCCCCACACCAAGGACCCAGGGATCCGGGACTCAGTGGGTCTCCGAGTAGCCAGCTCTGACTTTGCCTCCCAGTGAGGGACTTTGGGGGTACAATCAGCCCACGCAGGTCTCAGGGATGGGTCCACATATGTGATATGGAGCTTTGTTGTGCCACACTCTCCCTGCTGGGGTCGTCCTCTTTCAAGGCCTCAGATTCCTCATTTGTCCAGTGAGGAGGTTAAGACTCTTCCACTGGGGGAGAGAAAGTGCTGTGTAAAATGCAAAGTCACAGGGCAGGGACAATGGTGGGGACCAGTTTAGCCAAGCATGTGGCTCTGGGAGCACATGTTGTAGGAGCGGGGCCTGTGCTGCTGGCTGGGATGTGTCATCCAGGCTCACTGACCCGGGGCCTGTCCTCCTGCCCGCAGGTCCTGGAGCTCCTTTGTCAGATCCTGCAGACAGACTCCCTGAGCACTATCCAGTTCTGGCTACTTTACGCCCCCCCAAAAGGTGAGGACACAGCCGGGGCCCAGGGCTTTCTCGGAGTGGAGGCTGTGGAGGGCCTTGTTCTCTGGATGTCACTGGGCTCCCACCCAGGGCCTTCCTCCTGGGCCCCGAATGCACCTGTCTCCAGCAGGACAGGGCTGCTGCTCCCTCCTCGCCCTTCCTCCGCAAGATTTCCTCGACCCTGCTTCTTGGAGGGGACTTTATACTGACCACTGACCGCCCTTGGCACCCAGGAGGGGGAAATCCAAAGATATATTTAGCAGACACGCCCCCTCACCCACCACTGCGGGAAGTGTACAGACACACACACACACACACACACACACACACACAGGAACCATGAAAGGACGTCCTTGTACACACTGGGATGGTGGGCAGAAGGTTTATCTGGGTGGGAGGCTGAGGGGTGGTGATGGGAGCCAGGGACAGTGGGGGAGGAGGGGAGGGGGAGGGCAGGAGGCAGGTGTCCAGGGGGCTTTGCAGAGAGAGCCCAGAGGCATGACCACTGGGTGGGCCAGCAGGTGCGAGAACAAGGAACATGCATGTGATCGTGTGGTGAGAGAAAGGTGGGGAGGGGCTGGGTGCTCTGCACACACAGGGGCCAGGATAGAACAGGGGCCTCCCCAAAGTGGACCTGGAAGCAGAATGAGAGATGGTTAGAGGGCTGCCCTGGGCCAGGGTTGGGCAGAAGAGCCGAGGCCCTGCTTCCAGCTTGTCCCTTGCAGGGACAGGACAGGATGTCCGGCCACTGAGAACCATGCCCCCTGGCTGTGCTTACAGAGAAAGACCTGGCCCTGGGGCTCCTGCAAACAGCCGTGGCTCAGCAATTTCCACAGCCCCTAGTCTCTATCCCGTTGGAAAAACTTCTCTATCAGCTCCAGGAATTCCAAGAGCCATCTCAAGAGAAGCAACAGCCGCCCTACAGGTGGGCTTCACACCCCTCACCTGCCCCTCTGTTCCCAGAGCTCTTCCCTCCCATTCAGCCACTTGTCCTCCCCAGTGAGGCCGGGTGGTCTGGAAAGGGGATCCGGGCACTGGGCTCACTGAGCCTGTGCTGGAGGAGGAGGCCCAGCCCCTTCCCCGAGGGACCCTCCGGTTCAGCCCCTGCTGCCTGAGGGCCCCTCTGGCAGCCCACATGTCGGCGGCTGACTATGGGGGATGCCCGAGGGGTGACCAGTGTCAGCTGTAGCAAGACAGGGCCGGAGAAGCCACAGCTAGCCCTCCAGCTCTTAGTCTCGGGGAAGGCCAGTAGAGAGGGGAAGCTGACACAGGGGAGCAGAAGTACCCCCACGGATGGCTAGAGGACACAGCGGAGGGTACAGTGGGAAGCCCTCACCAAGCAGGTGGGTAGGGCTAGGGTGTCAGCAAGGGACCTGGCAATAGTGCGGGCCCACTGTTCTGCCGGACACCACTGGAGTCCACACAACCACCCACAGAGGCAGTGTTACCCCCATTTCACAGATTAGAAAACTCAGCAACAGCTGAGACTACCTAGAGTCACCTGGCTAGTCGGAAGAGCTGGGATCCAGCCTAACTTCCAAGCCCAGCAGCACCCAGATTTGCCAGAGACCCTGTTAAAAATGCAGATTCCTGGAGATTCTAACAGCTGGTGGGGGATGAGCCAGGGGATGCATCACTTTGACAATCTCCCTGGTTTTCCCCGATAGAGCTTTGCAGAACGTGGCTGGGACAGGTAGGATTTGAAGGAGCAAATGAGAGGGTGGGGACCGTCAGGAAGGGAAGGCAGGAACGCGCTCAGTCTAGGAAATGTTAAGTTTGGGGGTGGCTGCAGCTTGGTGAGAGGGGGCAGGTGCTTGTGCTCATTTAGGTTTGTTGAAGGCCTGGGTTCTCTCTCTGGCCCTAAACTGGGTTCTCTTTTCTGCTTTGAGAGACCAGAGAGGCTTGGGAGGAAGGCAGGCTTCGCTGTGACCTCGGGCGAGCCACTGCCCCCACCATGGGCCTCAGCTGCACCCCTCAAAACCACTCTCCTAGCGTTGTAGGGAGGACAGTTAGACCGAGTGCATAAAAAGGCCTGCTTTGGTGCAAAGCGGAAGTCCTCCGTTAGGGCAGCAGGAGCTCCAGCTTCTCCACTCACAGGAGAAGGCTTCCTCTATTCCAGGAAGCAGGAGCCAAGCACAGCCGGGGCGGGCTGGGGCGGGGGCCTCCCTTACCGCTCCTGGGGCAAGAGGGCCCAGGAGGTTCCTCGTGGTCACAGCAGGCAGTGGAGTCACAGCTGTCTGTCGGGGTCCCACTTGGGGGTGGTGCCAGCAGGGGCCAGGCGCCTTGGGCTCTTGGGCTCCCTGGAACATTTGTTTCCCCACCGCACCCACCCTGCTGCTCTGCTGCAGTGGGCTCCAGCCTCACATTCCCTTTGTGTCCCTTATAGTCAATCCCCGAAGAAGACGAAGACCCCACCACTACCCAAAGGCGACCAACCAGGTAAGATTCTATGCAGCAGATCATCCCAGGGGCTCTCCCCCCCACCCCCACCCCCACCCCTAGGCCCACCCTGGCTGTATGCCTCAGGGGATTCGGGGACACTGGAGATGAGTCTCTGCCCCAGGAAGCTGCTCATTCCACCCATTCATCTATTCACTCATCCATTCAACAGAGACTTCCTTAGCAGCTGTGAGCTAGGCTCTGGGGAAGAGTCCAGACAAGTTCCTGCTGCTATGGAGCTCACATCCTAGTGAGGAGGAGCGCAGACAGCAAATCCAAACATCGGAGGGGGATAGGTACTGGCAGGAAAATAAAGCAGGGGAAGTGAGGGGCAGTAAGAAGGACTGGCAGGGTGGGGAGAGGGCTCCTTGGCCTGAACGACAGGTAGTTCCAGCCCAGTGTGGGCCTCGGGAGAGCCCAGAAATAGGGCTCTCACCTGCCAGCTGTGTGGGTGAAAGCGTACTCAGGCCAGGGTGGCTGGGGCCTTATGGGTCAGGCTGGTGGTAAGAAATGAGGTGGGCAGGGCCAGCCTGGGTCTCACCCAGGTGACATGGGGGTGCACTGGAGGCTTATAAGAGGGCCTGGTGTCCAGACAAGTTCCCCTCTGGCTACCAAGTGGAGGAAGGACTATTGGGGGCAAGAGGGGCTGAGGGGAGACCAGGCAGGAGGCTGCTGCATCCTCCTGGTGTCTTCGGCCAGGGCAGGGGCAGAGAAGAGGACAGCTACCCACCACGTACCGTATTCTCTGCCACTAGACTGTAAGGCGTCCCAGGTGAGCATCCGGCACAGGTAGGCACTCCCTAGGTATTTGTTGTCTGGATGTAGAAAGAAGAGGCGGAGGTGAAGCTCAGAGAAGGGAGTCAGCTCCTCCCGGGTCACCAGCAGCACCCAGAGTAGCAGCTGGGCTTGACCCACATCTGCCTGGGGCCTCGCAGGGAGAAGACGTCCATTTAGGTCCCCAGAGCAGCTCCCAGCTAGGGACCTGGCCCATCCCTGTCCTCTGCTGACGGATGTCTTCCCTTCTCCCAGAGTACATCGGGAGAGCACAAATTCTCCGGATGCATCTGAACCAGAACACAGAAGACAGAAATTCAAAGCCAAAGGCAGAATGCGGAGTCTGAGTCCCTTTGGCCGCCTTGCTCAGGAGCTGTCCCCAGGTTCGGGGCTGCTCCCAGTCCACCCACCTCAACAGCAACACCGACTTTCCTATCACACGGAACCTATTAAAAGGCTGCCTTCCCCCTAAGAGGACAATTCCACTCCACTCTCTATAGCAGGTCTGTACTTGGGGGTTTATTCCAGGAGCGAGGATGGGCTGCACGGAACCGTCCGGCTCCCTTGGAGAAAGCTCCCTTGCTACCGCCCACACGGGGCTTACCTGCTGGTTCTATGTTCCTAAGAGCTGAAGGGCAGCCCGAGGAAGAAGCTCTGTCCCACCCGAGCCAAGACACACAGGGGATCCGGGTAGGTTAGAGCAGATGTCAGGAGCCCACAGGCCTCTGAAAAGTAACCGTCACTACCAACTGTTGAATTCCTGCCGGTACCATATTCAATTCCCCCAAATATTCGATTCCCCCAAAGCTCTGTGAGGTAGACTATTAATATCATCACTCCCATGTTACAGGTGAGTACATCGAGGCTCAAATGGGGGAACTAACTCGTTCAAAGCCACACAGTGAGTGGCAGAGCCAGGACCCAAATCCAGCATGTCTGGCTCGGGAACCCTGCTCTTTCTTCCCCGCTGTGCTCTACCCCTCACCCAAGGTGGTAGCTGCAGTCTGAAAATCATAAGCATTAGCAAAATGGTGGTGGGCAAGATCAAGGAGGAAAGAGATACTCCATAAGTGTGACCCAGTTGGGGTTTTGTTGTCCTTTAAAATCTAGAGAAGATAGCCTTTGACCCTCTTGGAAGTCCAGTGTGTTCCTTGAGATTTCTGCAAGATTCCCTGGAAAGCCAGGGCAGGGAGATATGAGAGGCATCGAGCATCCCCCGTGTCATGGTCACCTGTGGCTCCGAGCTGCTACTTCCACTGAGTGAGGTCCCCAGACTATGGCTCCCTCCTGTGCCGGCAACACCGCTCCACCTCACAGCAACTCAGATTCAGTCCCTCTGGGTTTTCTCAGACACCCCACACAAAACCTATATGTGCAGCAGCGTTCAGCCCAGAGCAGGGGCTGGATGGGGATTTGCTGTGAGTCCAGCCAACAGCTTCACATCAACATTAAACCATCTTGTGTTCTTAAAATCCCCTCTCCCACTGAGGATGTTCCCCCAGCAGCAGCATCTCTTATTACAGCCCTGCGCCTTGTGACGTCGCTGGCTTCGGCCTCCCTGCACTCACCCCTGCCACCAGTTTTCCAGAAAAGCCCACCAGAAAGCCCACATAAAGTTCACCAGAAAGCCCACATTCATTTGTCTTCTCCTTATTGCCCTCCTCTTTTTTTATTGTGGTAAAATCCACATAACATAAAATTTAACCATTTTAGCCATGTGTCAAGTATACAGTTCGGTGGAATTAAGTACACTCACGTCGTTGTGCAAATATCGCCACCATCTGTCCACAGAACTCACATCCTCTTACAAAACTGAAACTCTGTGCACCTTAAACACTGACTGCATTCCCCTTCCTTCACCCCCAGCAACCACCTGCCTCCTCTCCGTCCCTGTGAACCAGACTGCTCTGGCTGTTTTGTATCAGTAGGGCCACAAACTATTTGTCTTTTTGTGACTGGCTTAGTTCACAGAGTAGGATGTCCTCGAGACTCCCCCATTTTGTAGCGTGTGTAGGAATTTTCTCTCACACTGATTTTTCTTTTTTTCCCAACGCACCAGCTCGGCTTCCCCGCCAGCCCCATTCCCAGACTGTCCAGCCCCACGTTGGCCTGTCCAGCCCCATCAAGGCGCCAACCTAGAGGTCCATTCTTGAAAACGGGCCCTTGCCCCTTGGCAGTTGTAGGTATGACAGTCTCTCTCTCTTCCATTAGGAATAATTTTTAACAATCCACATTGTAAAAAATCCTAGAAGACACCTGCTTCCAGAATAAATCATACTTGTTGGCACGAAAAAACCCCACCTGGCCCTTTTGCTCATCCTTCTATCTTCCCTTGAACTGATTAGGGAGTATTGCTGAGTGGTTAATAATTGCGGTCACAGATTCTCATGATTTTCTTATTCCAAAGAGCTTACCTCTCCTCAGAGCGGCTCAGCCTGTCCCGCAGATTGATTGATTGATTTTGCTTTTGCAACTCCCTGCAAAATGCATGTGGCACTGCCTGGCCTTTGCAGCCACTGTCATTGTGCTTAAAGACAGGGTGGGCTGGGCCTGGCTTCTTACTCCTGTATCTTGAGGGTGGATGGCAAACAGTTCGTTCTCTGCAGCCCTGAGGTCTTTTAGGACAAAGAAAGATCAAGGGGCTGAGCCGAAGCGTGCACACATAAACACTGTGCGGAAAGAGCACCGAGATGCACACTGGTGGGAAACTGCTGTCTTGCAGACACGTGGGAGGACTGAGCTGTGCCTGTACAGATGACCTGACCTCAGGCGACACTCACGACAGCCTGTAAGGCAGGCATCATTTTCCACATCCAAGGCTTCGAGCAAAAGTAACACATCAGGGCTCATGTAGCCCATAAATCAGGGATCAGACTCAGGGCCGCAGGGCTTCTCAGTTGGCTCTGTCCTTTCTGCTACACTGCCCTCTTGCAGGCCACCTCCCCGTCCCGCTGCCACAGCCACTTCGCCCACCCTTCCTCCCCCGTCTTCCTCCCCCATCTCTCAGAGAGGGAGCACGTCAGGGTTTGCTCTCACTCACTCCCTGACTCTTCGCAGTCCCTCCTCAGGCCCACATCCTCTTTCCAGGTTTTAAGGGAATTACTGCTGAACCCCAGGGGGCTAGCGAGCTGGGATAACTTGAAGGTTCCAGAACCATAGCAAAGCACTGATCAGAGAAGTTGCTGGCCTTCTTGGAAGGGCAGTGGCATCCAGCCTGCCTTCCTCATCACCTGCACTGGGCTACCTGTGCCCTCAGATCCTACGTGGGTTGGAGGCCAGACTGGTTCCCAGGCGGAAGCCCCAGGGGCTGTGCAGTCCCTGACTGTCCCCCATCCTTCCCCATTATCCGAGTCCATAAAATTACTTCCTGTAGTTGATTTTTATGCATTTTTACACCAAACTGACCATCTTACCCATTGTCAAGAGTATGGTTGGGTGATAACACATGCATGTTGTGCAACCATCACCACATCCACCCACAGAACTCTCTTGATCTTGCGAAACTGAAACTCTACAGCCATTAAACACGAACTCCCCGTCCCCTCCCCTCAGCCCCTGACAACCATCCTTCTTCGAAACTCTCTATAGATTTGTCTATTCTGGGTACCTCATGTAAGTGGAGTCATGCAGCATTTGGCCTTTCAGTGTCTGGCTTGTTTCACTAAGCACAGTGTCCCCAAGGTTCGTCCATGTGGTAGCACACATCAGAATTTCCTTCCTTTTTTAAGCTGAATAATATTTCACTGAATGTCCATGTCACATTTTGTTTATCTATTCATCCATCTGTGGACACCTTTGGGTTGTGAATAGTGCTGCCAAGAATACGAGTGCACAAAAGTAGTTGATTTTTATGTCACATGACGCAAGGGAGCCTGGATCATTTAAGGTCATTACAACTAGTAAGTGGAGCCTCTGGGATTAGAATCCAGGTTTGTCAGACTCCAGGGTCACAGATAAGAGCCCTTGGCTCCCAAGCTTGAACCATTCTCATTCCCCCATCACAAATTTCTTACAACTGTTCCTAAAGTTTCCTTTAATGTACCTTTTTAATACTTCTCCTTGAATATAGTTTTTATCTAAGCAATATGATCCCATGGCATCATGTTTTTGATGTTTTTTTATTAAAGTTCCTCATACACAATGAGGATAAATATAAGTGTATCAGAATTGCTCCTCCACGTACCACCTAAGTTCATCTATCGTACCACCAGAGTTTGCCACACTTTGGAAATGTTGCCTAGAACATATTGCAGTTTGAAGAAGAGAGAGCCACCCCTGGGACTCCTGGCTTAAAGACACATGTGGGGGTCACCTCCTTGCCCAGTTTTCTAGCTCAACAACCACCCCCTCTCCCACCTCACTCCACTTAAATAGATAAGGATAGGCTGGAGACTCACGGCAAAGGCAGGGAAAGCTCGAATCCTCACTAGCGATGCCTTAGAATCCCATCGTTGGACACCTCAGAAGTTCTGTAACAGCCTTCCCAGCCCATTGGAAGCCTTCACTGGAGCACCCCAGACATGATACCCAACTTCACCTTGGACAACGGTAGTAACAGAGATCTCACTACATTTCCTGGCTTTTCAATCCTGAGTTCTGTCCCCAGAACCACCAAGATCATGTCTTTCCAGGCTACCTGATTTTGTGCTTGTCAAAACTCTTTTGTAAAAAGTCTCAATCAGACCACACCTCTTTTCCAATATTTATATCTTTTTTTTTCTTGTCCAACTGCATTAGCTAATACTTCCAGAGAATAATGTTAAATAATAATGATGACAGGGTTTCCTGGGTGGCTCAGTCACTTAAGCTCCCAACTCTTGATTTCAGCTCCAGTCATGCTCTCAGGGTTGTGAGATCAAGCCTGGCATCAGGCTCCACGGCAGTGGGGAGTCTGCTTGAGATTCTCTCTCTCTCCCTCTGCAACCCCCCCCCCCATGAACACAGGCATATGCTCTCTTTCTCTGTCTAAAATAAATAAATAAATATTTAATTAATAATAATAGTGCCAGTGGGCATTTTAATAGTATTTAATGAGAATCATTCTCATTTTTCACCATTAAACATGTTTACCTATGAAGGATCTATAAACTGAAATAATCACATATTCATAAAGTTATGTCAAGAAGTCTCCTCCAGGGCAGCCTGGGTAGCTCAGTGGTTTAGCGCCACCTTCAGCCCAGGGCGTGATCCTGGAGACCTGGGTCGAGTCCTGCGTCGGGCTCCCTGCATGGAGCCTGCTTCTCCCTCTACCTGTGTCTCTACCTCTCTCTCTGTGTGTCTCTCATGAATAAATAAATAAATAATTTTTTTTTTTAAAAAAAAAGAGAAGTATCCTCCAGTTCTTAAGTGTTTT